TATTTACTACATAACTAGATATTGGACATTACATTTTCATCTGCAGTGCAAGCTGACAAGCTTTAAAAACACTAATTAACATTGTAATTGCTTCCATCTTCTACATACATTGTCTATGTACATAATAATAATAGATTGGCGCTTACACAGATGTACTTATGTTAGTGTTTGGCCGAGCTTCTCCTCCGATATGTGGCGTGCACCTTGCGGGGAGGGATCTACAGTTTTACGTCGACTCCGAACGGCGATTGTATTTTTTTGAGAAGCTGTTTTTCATGGCAGAAATACACGCGGAGGTTTCCCACTGCCTGCCGAGGGGTTAAACCGGACTTGAACCCAGGCCCTGCGGAATGGTAGCGTGCACTGCTAACCATTACAACACAGCGGCCGCCTATGTACATACATATGTATAGAATACTACTATATGTAAATATGATATGTATGTACTATATGGAAGTACACTCATGCGTGCACAGCTCAAAGTTTATTTTGATTAGTTTTTCACATTGGAACATTTCCCTTTGGTAAAACTTGGTAATTTCAAAAGTTGATTTATTTTTTACGCTAGTATGCACTCATGCACTCTGTGTATGTATCTGTGTACATGTAGCAGAGCGCGTTAAAAATAGCTAAGAATGCATAGAACTGTAAAAGATTTATTTTCCTGTACGCGTATGTGCATAGATGCGCAACAAGTTTGTGGATCAGACCGGTACCGTCACTTGCGTCACTTGCGTCAATGTGAGCAATCTGCTTTTTTGCATGTGAAATTATTACAAAGTCTGTAGGTATATATTGCTTGCTGCTCATACATACATACATACATATATGGCATCTACATATTTAAGTACACTTATTTACATAAGAACTGAGCGCAATGAACTCTCTCACATTTGCATACTTAGCACTTTTTCATCATTTACATACAAACGTGAGATTAGGAAGTCTCTAGCGATCAACGGATTATGCGAATGTTGTGCGACTTAGTTTTTTTTTTTTGTTTTTTTTTGCATTCTGTTCAAGCACAGGAAGCTTAGCCGTCAGTGATTACTTTTATTTACATATAAAAAAGTATGCACAATTGTAAGTGTGTGTGAGTGTGTCTGTTTAGCATTATCTTATCAGTGCTTTGCGGATTTAGCCCCACTCACATGTAAATTACAAAAAAAAATATATATGCGTTTTCATCTACTACTTAGTTACAGCTTTCATATATGTATGTACTTAGTAGCAAATACGTATTAAAAGACACGCTAACTATAAAAATAAAAATTGTCGTGGTACGCAGTTGACTTTTGATAAGGATTTTACGCCTTTTCCATTAAAAAAAAATTTTCAAACATACTATCAATAATAATAAAAGATTTGTATAAAGAAAGTCTGTGAAAAACAAAAAATAAAAATAAATCAACTAAAGTTTAATGGGCTGTAAAACATATTGTCGATGCCTTTACAAAACCTTCCTTATCGCCGTTGTGGCAAGAGTGACATTTAGTAACCCTGAACTCCAGACATCGAGATTTGTGTTAAGGCCTACTTAGGCTTTATCTGTAACCAGTGCCTCCCATCTAAACTGCCCGATTCTTGCAAAAGTATATATGTAAATGCCTACAACTTTAGGTTACGAGTATATGCAAATGACTGATAAACTTTTAAGAGCAGCTTTGTGATGGTAGAAATTATCTCGTAACTTGAATTAGAAGAACAAATATTTTAATTTCATGCCTTGAAATTGGGAGCGAACTGACAACATCCCAAACTCATTAAATTTAAATATGTAAATACGTATGTAGATATGTATGTATGTATATAACTTCACTAGAACGCGAAAGTTGTGATTTATCTCTTATTCCTGTTTAATTCCATTGGTTGTGCTTGTAAATGCTATTTGATTGTAGATTTGTACTGTCAGATAGTTTACACTAATTTTCTGGTTGAGTGAATGTTGCCATGGTAGATTTAAAAAGGTGCTTACTGCATGAGATGCAAAAAATAATAATAATAGAAAGGATTTTATAATGATTGTTCATTATGATATATGTATTATGTATGTACAGCTGCGGTCAATGAATTAGCACCGAAATTCAAAATGATATTGATAGCCTCTTATGCTTATTTATTTATTTTTAATAATTTCCATTTAAAACATAATTAAATCTATAACAGAAAGAACATAAATAAAATTTTTAAAGCTTGAAAGAATTTCGAAAAAAAAAATCAAGTTTTACAAAACTGTCTAACTTTTTAATCTTTAGAAAATTTTCGGGTATGCAGTTTTGTAGCCCACCAGATTTCAGTATGATAAAGTGCATTTTCTTCCATATAAAAATAAGATTTTTTAATGTAAAAAAAGTATTTATTTAAATATATCTCACACTCTCGCATATCTCTAATGCACAGCCGACGTAATTACGCACATGTCGATTACTTAACCCCGAAACTAATTTAGGTAGGCCTTCTTAAATGAAGTCATTCTAAGAGGCCTACCCAAGAACGGCTGAAAAAAGTGCTTCCTTGTATGCCTTCTGCCTTCATTTTATGCGAATGCATAAATTTATATTAATTAGCATTACAAATGATATTCAATAAAACTTTCAAGTTGCAATAACACATATTTGATATAAACCTTAAACAAATACTTTAAAGATGTAGGATTTTTATAAATTAAAGAAGCAACTTTAAAAGAACTCCTCCAAAAGGCCTTCTGAAGTACGTCCTATAAAAGCCCTTCTGAAAGGCCTTCTATGCGTAGCGAAAGAAGGAGCCCTCTAATTTGTGCCACTCCGTACAAAAAAGAAAGGAGAAAGGAATGTAGAGTGGAAGGTCTCTTGACTCTCAGGAAGGTCCTTCAGAAGGGCTTTTAACTCCTGAAAGTATCTACTGGGAACTAATTTTCTTCGACAAATAGATTATAAACTGCAAAAAATTTAAAAAAAGATACTTCTTTGTGAGTTCAAAATTTGGGAAATTTTTCTCGAGATTTTCGAATATCATGATGAAATACAAAGTATGTGTTTTAGATTTTTTTGATAAAAAAAAAGTTAAATACAAGTTTTATGAAATTGCCCATATGCATATCTATACATATGTGGAAATCTTTTAAGATGGGATTTTACAGCAAAAAAAAATTTTATTTTCAAAATCGTAGTACAATTTTTTTCTAAATACCATAATGAAAATACCAGATCTGCAAAAAAATGATTCAAGGTCAAATGCCACATAAATTGACGTTCCCACGACAGTCGGGTCTACGTAATCGGAACGACTCAGATTTATATCTGGCCAAGGAATGTCACTCTAGCAACATTCCCCAAAAACTCTTTGGTGAACTTGTATGCTGCTACAACAACAACAACATAAATTAATTTTTACCATTTTTCAGCAAAACGATGGGGCTAAGCACAACAACCACAGAAAAAAATGTAGATCATACAACTATCTGTAAAAATCGTTGTGACACTTTTCTTTCTCAGTTCACCATTTCTTGGATACAACGATTCAAAAAAATGGGTAAAAAAAATTAAACAAAAAATGATAACGATTCCTTCAATTCTAAAGGAGCAAAGTGTTATGGATTTTATATTCGTCTATGTGAGACCTCATGGTCAGCCAGCATAACATAACCTAACCTTCGATTCTTACTGGAGTCTAGTAAAAAGAAGTCTGATGAGGAAGTAAGTCCAGAGCGTGTTACAGTTCGAAGATCATTTAGAGGTTGGAAAAGCCACTTGCTAGTAAAAAGTTACAAACAAAAGTTACGTGTTTTTATCCTTAGAATCAGAAAATGTAGTAAAAACATGTAAATCTAATTTGAAAAAAAAATGGACTTCCGGTCAGTTTAAGCCACTTCCGGCCAATTTTTACGTAACATTTTTGCGGTTTTCAATAATAAACTATTCCCTCCATTTTAGAGGGTGTGGACGTGTGGTCTAGGACACTCTGTATATGTAAGTACATATCTATGTATGTATATATTACTTTACTTTATTACTTGTTTTAATAGTAATCTAGAAGTTATCCTCAAACCGCAGTTTACGTTGAGGAGGCATTTCTGTCGCCAACCATCCACGATTTCCGCTGCAATCGCTATATTGATTTTTCATTTTACTACCGCTGCTAAAGAAGTTTCACTCCCGAAATCTGTCAAAAAATAGTCAGGAATACTTTAAACGAATAAATACGTCTACGAGAATGATAGTGGAATGAAATAACTTCTCCATGGTACCTCAACTATGAAAACTGGTCAACTACTTAAACCATGTTAGTTATTAAAATTTCTATGAGACTGCTTTGAAAGATTGCCCTGAAATGCTCAAACTTTTCACATTATTTCTTAACAGAATATTTCTTTGATTTTTGCACAACAAGCGCTCCAGGTAACGAATGATATAGAATCGAGGCAAAATATTTTCGTGAGAGCCATAAAAAAAATTAAATTTGATGATTCGCATGGGAAAGCAACAGTAACAACTTGTGTTGTGAGGCATCCTAATGAACATTTGTGACTATATTTATTTATGATAATATTTTGGCAAGAATATAGATTAATTTGTCCAACGCGCAGACTGTCCCTGACCTAGTACCATATTGCATTCATGCAAAGCAAACGTACGAAAATCTCACATCAACATATGCACATATGTATGTATGTATGTATGGTTCTAAAAATGCATGTGCATTCAAATGCAAGTGCAGACAATTTATGAAGAGAGAGATTTAAATTCTAACATACTTAAGTGTGCATGTATTTACATAAGTGGGATAGATGTTAGATATGTTAAGAATGCTTTTAAATGCATTTATTATAATCTAAATGTATTTACATATGGATGAACGTAAATAACTATGTTAAGCACTTCACAATGGCATGCATTTGCGTTTACTTAAACTATGTTTATGTTCATATTATATGCATGTATTCGTTTCTAGGTATGTAAGTATATATGTATGTAAACATAATTGTTTTCATTCATCCCATAAGTACATATGCCTTTACTCACCTGTCTTCCATGCGTGGTCGTCGTCCCAGCAAAGCATAGACGGCACTCTGTTGACGCACCTCTTCCCAAGACTGATAATCACCATGACCGCTAGCTTCACTCGTCATTTTCATGCGATTCGTCCTCTGACGGCCAAGTGTCGTCTGTATACGCCCCAAAATGCCACGACTCCAGGCATCCACGGCTTGCAAGTAGATTAAGAAAATGAATAGAATCACACCGAAAAATATGACTTCAGGGCGTAGTACATAAAGGCGACATAGTTTCCAAATGTACGCCAATGGCGAATTGATGGACGAAAAGCCCACAGCGAATTTTGATAAAATCTTCATGTGGGAAACGTAAGCTTGATAGAAGACTTTATCCTCCAACTCGTCATCCATGTGTCGCAAAGGAAATTCACAACTTTATTATGTGTATGAGAAGGGATTAATGATGTGATTTATAGTTTATTCAAAGTTTATATACGCAGTTGGTACTGGTGTTTAGTACGTAGTCAAATGTTTTGTTGTATTTTGTTTACTTAATTTGCCCTTTAGTTCC